TAACTTCTTGCCCCCATATGATACACTTTTTATCATCATCATTACAAATAGCTAGGAGGGTTAAATGACTAAAAAGGTTTGTCACAAATTATATATATAACACTTATGTAACCGATGATAATGTGGTATATATAACTTGTGATAATAATATTAGTTTATTAATTAGGAAGTTATCATTGACATTATTATTATATGACTAATTAAGGGTAGTTTTGGAATTTTAATATAATTTTTTAGAAAAAGAAATCTAGTTGCTCTCACATGAGAGTATTAGGTGTTTGCTACATTGCAATGTTTTTTACAATTAAAATATAATATTATACACTTAATAATTTAGGATATTCAACGTTCCTATGAGAATAATTTAAGAGCAAATGTGTCAACGGCTTTTGAGAATTTAAATAGTGTGAGAAGTAATAGCAAATTCCAATATGCACATTGTAAAATAATTATGAGAAAACATGCCCTTAAAATGTAAACATATGTATGGAAGATATAATATATATATATGCATATATTTATAGTTGGTTAATTGAACTTAACTAAACTTAATTTTTTATAATTGAATTTGAAATATGCAAAAAACATAAATCGTCATTGTCAGTAAGATTAAAAACTAAGAATGTAGTATTCAAAATAAAGAAGCAATGTATGATTAACTACAAAATAGGCCTAATCACATGGAAGCTAGCTTAGGTGTCCTAAGAAAAGATGGCAATCAAAAGAAAAAGATTCTTATGTAAATGATTATTATTATGAAGTTTACGGGCACTTTGTCCCAATCAAGACGAACAAACCTTAGCACCTATAATTCTCTCTTCTCTTTTAATATATATTAACAGCTAACAATTCAAACATCTCATTAAGAACATGAGGCAACCAAAATGGACACCTAATTAATGAAGCCTACAAACATTGACAGCATCAAACATCAATATTTAAGATAGAAAATAAACTATACAAGTCAAGCTTACAAAAATCCAACTCAGACATGTTTTTTATTTATTTGTATTTTCAATATAATAAATTAAATATTATGAGATGCCTTTCACATTCTTTTTCTTCATCTACTCTATGGAGACTTAACATAACTTTCATTCAAAAATTATGCTACGAAGGTGTTTACTATAAATTTTTCTTTTTATTTTATACAATTTAAATACATGCATACAAACATGTCAATGCCAGATTTGAGTTTGGGATTTCATCCGAACATAACGGGTAGCTAGCGTTGTCAATGGGACAACTTGCTGTATGGTTAACAATTTACTAATACATGTTCATGTTATGTCTTCCAATTGCACCAAATGCAATAGTGACATATTTCGAAGCATGGATTGGATGATGTGAAACTGATCAATGACATAAGGTGGACCAAAGCGTAGAAAAGATAAATTCTTGTTCTTGGCATTATGATTATATTGAAAACTACTGGACTGCGATTTAGGTGGCGTTATTGCATTGAGTGCAGCAAACAATGAGCCGTGACGACAAGTAATGGATTAAGAAGTATTACCTTAGCTTGATGTGATATTATGATTGTATTGAAAACCCCCACGAATTGTCCTTAATCCAAGTTCATTGGCTATTATATATTTTATATATAATGTATGATTTTAAAGGAAGTATCATTCGAGTGTTGAATGAAGATGCTTTTATAATTATGAAGACTAAGTTTAATAGTTTTATCTTGAGGTTGTTACTTGTAATTAATGACAATTTTAGGAAGTAACTAATAAATTTGAATGAACTTAAGCATAACATTCACTTTGAGTTAAGCCGCAAATTGTGTTCTTGCTTCCATTTTTTTTTTTTTTTTTGCTTTTCTGTCAAAACGATATCTTATTTTTCAACTAAATAGTATTTGTCTAATCCTTTACTTAAAATCGTGCTTCTAGAAAACCCCATAAAGACATTTACTTTATTCATTTACATATCAAGCTTGTTGGAAATTAAAATTTGAATGACACAAAGTTTTGAGTTCTCTTATGCTTATTATTCATCCACCATTATTCTTTTAGGCTTGTTTAAGAGTATCTGTACTGTTTACTTGATTAGCAGCATTTGTTTATTGGTGTGTTATTTATTCTGACAAGTGCATTTAATACTTCACCGAATGGCTACTTTTGATCAGTAGTAACGACTAAATCTTGTATCAATGACTCAGAATACTATAAATAAAAAAATATGGCTCAAGTATAAGACCATAAATTTTTGATCGGTTGAAACTTGGTTACTTTGTCTATTCCATTAACTAATACTATCTCTGGTCCTTAATATAAGACTTTATTTTATTTTTATTTTGATCATAATTATAAGACCTCAATCCATTTTGTCCTCATATTTATATTTTTTCTATAAAGTAGTTCTTCTAATAATGATAGTTCTAATCAATAAACTTGATTAGTAAAGATATTTTAGGAAAGACAACACATATTTATTATAAATAATTAATTTAACTTACTTTTTTAATCTCCTCAAATTACTCTCCCAAACTACCATAGCTCAAGCTTCATCGTGCACATTGTAAACCTAGCATGGTACATTCTAAACATTGTGAGGTTTCTTATTCTTAAGAAATTACAGAGAATCTTAAGGAGATTAAATTGCTCCAAGCATGAAAGTAACCAAGTGTTGATTAAGCTCTTGCTTCTTTTTTTTTTTTTTGCCAAAAATTAAGCTTATGTATTGAGATCTTGTTGTAACCTAGTTGAATTGAATCTAGCTGTTAGCAAATTGAAGATAGTGAAAAGCCTATGTGAGAAATTTGAGGACTAAACATAAACTAAAGTTGTCCATCCACTTGTAATAGAATAAATAGAAGAGCTAGATAACTAATTTTAAAATATTAAAAAAATTAGTTATTTGTAATAAATAGATGTTTTTTTTTAAAATGTCTATATTAATCATATGGCTTAGAATAAAAACTTTTCAACACGTGTAACTGATAACCATGAGAATTGTTTTGAAAAAAAGATAAATATGGGAAGAAAAGAAGATTAAAATCTTATATTTAGAATCAAATTAAACTTCAATTAGTTCTTATATTTAGAATTAACGAGATGTACTATTTGATTTCTCTAACTCTCAATTCTTTCAATACTCAGTTTCTACACATTTTACAATCTGTTTTCATCGCTTTTTATTGTTCTATCAATCTACTAGTCCCAAAAGAAAACCATCATGAAAAGTCTTGCCCCTACAATTTCATGACTTCATTAAAAATTAGATAAATTTTTTCACATTATACACACACACACTACATTCATAGAGATCAATATATGAGAAATGAGCCAGCCAAAAAAAAATATAGTTCCAAAATATGGTTTTTTTAAAGATTTGATTGACACTTGCTTGCGTCGGAAGGCCATGTGGTGTTCATTTTCAAGAAGCGATCGACACGTACGAGTCCTACGACTCAGCGGAGTGAATGATTAAACAGAGCCATGATTGTGATAAGGAAATATAAAGAAAGCCGAAGATTAAGGGGCAGATTACAAATATTAAAATGGGAAAGGGCCAGATGTCAAAAAGAGAATCACAAAAAAGCAGGGACCTTTTGGCAAAAAGAAAAAAAGAAGAAGCGAAGGGGCAATGAACTGAAAGTGTGCGACGAACTGTGTGTGAGATTCGAGAGAGTACCCGCTTTTGTATTTTTAATGAGGCCCCCATCATTTGCACGGCAGCTATCACCTGCGTCGCCAACCATTCATGCTTTCCATGCTCCCAACCAATCACCTCCGCATACCATTTCCATGCAAGACTTTTGTCTCATACAATTATAAATTTAGTACTCTCTCCCTCCTTATTTTAAATAGAGGTATTTTTTTAATATGAATTATTTTTATTCATCAAAATTATTTTTAATTTTTTGTTTCTATTTAAGTATTCATATGAATATCATTATATTTATCATTTGTTCATTCGGGCTCTTATCCTCTTTATATTTACTATTTAGTAATTTGCTAATAATGGTATTTTTAGGGGAAAAAAGGTCACATTTTTTAATATTTTTATTGTTTCTAATTAGTTTTCACCAATTCTTTTAATAATATGACTCATTTAATTTCCTCTTATAAAAAAACAGAGTACTAAGTTGTTTATTGAGATGGTAAGCAATCTCACCCCGTAAAGAAGAGAACACAAATTTAATTTTGAGAAGTGTATTTGTTGAAAATGTTTTAACCTTTACACTCTCGACTAGATAGAGATTAATCACGAACCCAAAATGATTTAAGAACATTTTGACTTATAAAAAAACATATTGAGTATATAAAATCAGTGTACTACCTCCGATCCTTAATATGAGATTCCGTTTGACTTTTATATTGGTCCTAAATATAAGACCCCAATCCATTTTGTCTTTCATATTTACTCAATTTTTTTCAAGATAGTCCTTCTAATAATTATATTTTAACCAACACACTTGATTAGTAAGATATTTTAGGAAAGAACACCTATTCATTAAAATAATTAACTCAACTAAGTTCCTTAATCTCCCCAAATTAGTCAACGGGATCTTATAATTAGGATCGGAGGTAGTATCAAATTTATTAATTAAATATCCATATAATATAAATTTTGAGGAGATCACATTATTCATAATTCATTTACGTAAAACATGAAACCAACAATCTAGTTTATTTAAAAATAGTATTAGAAATTTCATAGTATTTTAAATAATGATTATAATATAACTATTATAAAATTTTAACAAATTCACTCATAGTAATAAGTTTGGTAAAACTTTGATTTTAAAAACAATGTTATTTTTTAAGATTTAACTTATGTTTATTGAAATTTGGGTTTATGTATATAACTCTAGCACATACTACTTAGAAAATATGCAATTTTAAATTATCTCCTAAGTAGCAACCGTCGATTGGGGTGGAGCAGTTATATGGGGATGTGCCTGCATTGCAGTAGATGATAACTTCTCAAGTCCCATCGTGCGTGCGGCCTTTAAATAACTGCCAGCTGCCTCTCTTTTTCCTCCCCGAACTTTCTTGTGCTTGCCCTCCCTCTCTCTTGCCCGCTCCAATGGCAGCCTCTCCCTCATCATCTTCCTCCTCCTCCTCAAGATCCACCATGTTCTACTATGGCGGCTTCGAAGATCACTACGACGAGCCCCACTTTCTCGAAGCTTGCTTCCTCTGCCGGAAACCCCTCGGTTTTAACAGAGACATCTTCATGTACAGGTTTGTTTCTTATCCTCCTCCTGTTTCTGTATTCAGTTTCAGTCCCAACCCAGAAATCTCTGGTATACGGAGACGCAGATTTCTCCTTGTTTGATGTGACTGATTTGATGAATTCTGTAGATTTAGCCTGCAACATGTGGCTTTCGAGAAATTAGTTCTCTGGCTTTTCACATCTGGGTGTATTGATTAGTCTGGAATTTTTCTTTTTTTTTTCACCGATTTGGATGTGTTTGGGATTAAATCTGATGAATATATCTGTGATTTTGGTGATTTACAGGGGGAACACACCGTTTTGTAGCAAAGAGTGCAGACAAGAACAGATAGAAATCGACGAGTCGAAGGAGAAAAGCTGGAAGGTTTCGTCGAAAAGAAGTGTGAGACAATCTGAGTCGAATCAGAACTCCACACCCAGTAAGAGTGTAAGAACTGGAACTGTCGCTGTGGCCTGATTAATTTTCACGGGACGATTGTTAAAAAATAATCCAATTTTGAGGACCAAACCACACAAAAGATGTGTGAAATCTCACGAGGGAGGAGGAAGAGGAAGAAGAAGGAGAACATTAACAATATGATTGTAGAGTCTGAGTAATTGGGCGAATCTTCTTTTGTCTGATCCCTTTTCTCTATGAAGGTTGGGATTCTGAGATAAACATGATGAATCCCAGCAAGGAATTTTGCCTCTTTTGTTTTAATTTTCTGCCTTTTGGTTTCACAGTTTTAAGAAGAAAGGCTGATGATGATGATTGTGTAATTCTTGTATAAGGTCTTTAAGATGTTGCTTTGTTCTGTGAAAAAACTCAAGTGCATGCAATGGAAGTATCAAAGATACTACTATATGTTTGCATCTTCTAAAGCTAAAGATCTGCTTATTCAGTTGTTTACAAGTTAGCTTATTTTCAAGATTTAATGCGAGAAACCAAATTATTCAATCATTATGATTTTGGTGGTTTGTGATGTGAAATCTCTTCAGGCTGTTGTGGTTATATGGCTTCTGGTTGTAAATTTTGTTTTCTAGAACTCAACTATGGGAAGAAAATAGTCAGAATAAAGAGGAAAATAGATCTGAAAGCCGAATTGAAGTTGAAGCTCTTGGTTTTCAGGGAAGACTTCATTGACTTGTGAATCGGATGAGAATGAGTCAATTTTTAAGTTCTTCAATATTAAAGGGTAAAAGTATGATTTATGCCTAAAGTATATGCTTAACCATCTAAGTTCTGATTAAGAATAATCAATTTAGTCTTTTTTAGTTTATAAGGTGTATTTTTAATTCTTTTATTTTAACACGGTTAATCTTGTTAATAGAAAATAATATCTCAACAAATTTAACATGGTGCATTTGTAATTAAATATTGATAAAACATGTTTAAGTTTTAATCATTTAATATAATATTTATTTATATTTTGAAATTAAAATAAACACAAAACCATACTTAAAAGGGTCCCACGTTTAAACCTGAACAGAGTAGTAAAAGTTAGTTGAGTAGTTGTTATTCATTCTAGTACTACTTATAAGTCAGTTTTAAAATTTTTTTTAATTACAATTAAAAAAATCTTAAAACTAATTAACTGTGTATAAAAATTAAATAAATTTTTTTACTTTGTCTATATTAAATACATCCTTAAAAAAAGGTGTTCTACTTTCCAATGTTAACATTAAAAAGGAGTAAAAAAAAAACAATAATTAATACTCTTCCGGTCCTAAATATAAGATCCTTATTCATTATCCTAAATATAAGACCCTTATTCACTATCCTAAATATAAGACCCTTATACACTAGTGTAAGACCCTTATACATTATATTAGTGTATAAGGGTCTTATATTTAGCACCAGAAGAGTATAGTACTTCATAAAGAGAATCACAACACTTCTCTTTTGAATGCCTTTTAGAAGTTGATGTTAATTATTTTTAGTTATCTTCTTCATCACTTCTTATTATAAGATCATTTTATTTAAACCAGTCAAATAAAAAAATAGTTAAAAATAATTAGAAGGATGAAATTTTTTTAGTGAAAATGATAAACAAAATACTTATTGAATTTCAAAATGATAAATTGTTGATTTTGACTTGTCAAAATCATTATAAAAGTAGTTAAAATTATTATAAGAGTAGTCAAAACCATTACAAAAATAGTTAGCATGACTTATTTATTTTTTTAAAATTTAATAAGTATTTTGTATACATTTTCCCGAATATTTAAACAGCATCTCATAGAGAAAGGAGAGTTTAACTTTTCAACTTTGTTTCTTCTGTTTAAGTGGAATTAATGGGGTGTTTGATTAATACAAAAAGTATTTTTAAAAAGTGCGTTCAGGTAACTCGAGATATCTCAGATATAAATTGGCATTGTATTGGCATGGACATACACAGTGGTTGACATTTACTTTGGAAATTTCGACGCAATGTGAAAAGTAAAAATAATAATTATATGAATTTTTTTGAAAAAAATAACTTATATACAATTCTTAGATGAACTTGTTCAAATAACTCTTGATGTTCAATAATAATAATAAAAATTTATTTAGATGGAGTACCACAAATATTATTTTCTCCATTCCTAAATGAAGAAATTAAATAACTAATTTGAAAGTATTAATAGAATTTATTAAATTGGTTAATTATAAAAAAATATGTATTAATTTTTCTAAAATACTCCTTTAATCATTTATATTAGAAATTACCCATATTGATAGAATTTTTATTTGGTATGTGTAATAAAGTCAATAGGAATATTTCAAAAAAAAATTATAAATTTAGAAGACATGTAGAGTTTTTTTATCTAGAAATAAAATAAATCTCACAATTAATTCTTACATTTAGGTCTACATGAAGTATTAATTATTAAAACATTTTTTTATCATGCACAGATATTTTTTTATCAGAGATAATCTTACTCGAAAAGCTCTTAAATACTAAATATAGATATTTCTTCAAATAGAAATTCAAATCTTAGTTTAAGACACATGTATTTCGCTAGTAGCACATTTTCACCTAAGCTATCCATGTGGTTGACATGATGGGTCATGGACGACGACTAGGCCCAGTGAGCATCTTTTAACATTAGTGGGCCCAATCAGAATGTGGGTTTATAAGCCCAATCTTCCATTTATTTCAGCTATTTTTAAATAAAAATACTCTTTATTACATATATAAAAGAATATTTAAGAAATTGTAGGATGTTTTCCTAAGTTTTTAAATATTGTCGTAATAAAAAGTCAGATCTTTTATTATTTCAAGAAACTACTCTGAGTAGGTTGTGATTATTTTAAGAAGCGGTTTCATTTTTTTTTTTCAAAAATGTTTTTAATGATTATAACCCAACGCAAAACAACACATATACTTTTCTACCATCTATAAGTAAAAAATCATTTTAAGATGATCTGAAAATTAATTTTTTTAATTCAAAAAAATGAGTCCTAATTTTTTTTATAAATTTGCAGATTGAAAACTCAAAAGTTTTAAAAATGAAATATAAGAAAGGATGACAAGCAATAAAATTTTATTATGGTATGATAAACCAAACACATAATAAGATATTGCTTTGCAGAAGCAAAGCCCTGCCATGCATATATTATATTTTGGTGCAACAATTGAATATTTAGTAACATTATCATATTGAATTAACAATAAATCTCTTAAATGATTTGTATTTTTACTCGAGTCAACCACCATTGTTTACTATAACAAACAACACTTCATAATTAAGTGACTCAAATTGGATTGTAGATTTTTTTTTTATTCTATACAACTCAAACACGCATACACACAAACATATCAATGCCAAGCTCAAATTTAGGATTTAATCCAAACGTGACAGGTGATATTGTCATTGGAATAACTTATTATTGATAAGTTGGAACGCAAATGACTCCTCTAGTAATCTAGTTTGAAGCAGCAATGCTTTGAAATTGTGCTCTGGCATAGCCAAGAAGATCATCTCTAGGAGGTAAAGCCAGCTTAATAGTTGGGTGATTCAAAATTGCATGACTCCATTTCTGAAGCTTGGGAAATTTCTCACCATTGAACCAATCAAGCCCACCAGCTTCTTGAACTACGGGCAACCAATAAGCCACAAACAAACCAGCAATATCCACAAGCCCAACTGAATCTCCACCGAAGAACTTGCCTTTCAGCTCCTTTTCTAGAACCTCCAAAGCATCCAATGATTCTTCAACACCCTTCTCTCTTTCTTTCTCATTAGGGTTCCAGGCTGCTTTAAATACTCCAGGCATAACCTATACTTACAATGAAATTCGTGTTTAGTGATGTACAATCCTATTATTTACAATTCTAGCATGGTATTGTGCAGAGAGAGATAGACGCATGAAGGTTCATGAATCTGCCATACCTGATAATATATCTATCTTTATTCTCAAATGGCCCTTGCATTATGAGTTATTTATTAGTGTGTTTAAATTGAATGATATATGCATTCCAACATCAGTGGGGACACTTTGAAAAATATTTCAGTATAAACCTTAATCCTATTATAATTGAGACGTAGAATGAAGTAATTCATATTCAGATGAATTTTTTTGAAACAGATATGCTTCAAAGATGATGTAAAATTACCTTGTCATCGATGAACTTAGCCCAGAAACGAGCCAAGGCTCTGTGATGAGGATCAGAAGGCAAGAAGGGATCATGACCTTTATTCCAAGTCTCATCGATGTATTCAACAATCACAAGCGACTCACACACAGATTTCTCATTGTGAATAAGCACAGGAACCAACTTGTGAACTGGGTTGTACTTAAGAAGAAGATCGCTTTTCTTGCCCACAGATTCATGAACATATTCAAATTCCACTCCCTTCAGTTTCAGAGCAATCTCTGCTCGACTCACAAATGGGCTTCCTACGATTCCCAACAGCTTCACCTCTTCCTTTCCAGCCATGGCGGCGTCGACGCTCCTTTCACCGACCGGAGACTTGAAGGTATATATGAAGATATGTGTGTGATGACTTTTGGTCTTTGAATTTGTGGTTCGGTTTCTTCTATAGACACACAAGGGAAGTGATATATATATCTGTGGGTGGATGAACCAGACAACAAGTTGTATGTTTTTTAAGGATACGAGGAATTTAAAATCATTATCTTTTCTTGATGGGGAAGGACAGATGCAAGAGATGACATCTCCAATAAGTTAATTTAAGTGTGTTGGTCAACTCTCTGTCTTTCTTCTTTTTTTTTGGGGGGAAGTACAAGAAAATACAAACAAACTAACTTAGACTGACTCTCCGAATGCTTCCCTGTTCAATACTATCCTGATGCAGGGTCTCAAGGGCTTCTATTGGGGGATTTGTCCATATTATTCTTCGTTGTTCCTGGTTCAATCCCATTTTTGCTAATCGATCCGCCACTCCATTAGCTTCTCTGAAGACATGCTTGATTTTTACTGTCCATTCTCTCTTGAGTAGTTCCTGTGTCTCTGATATCAGTTCAGGTTGCACCTCATTCAGTGAAACTTTGAGGATTTCATCCGCCACTGCTTTCGCGTCACTCTCTACCTGTACTTGTCTGAACCCCATATCCCAACATAGTGTAAGTCCTTCATAGATTCCCCATCTTTCAGCCTCGCTTGCAAGGCAATTGCTTGGGCATATGGAAAAACCTCTAAGCCATTCACCCGTGTCCCCCTGAATTGCTCCACCACAGGTTGCCCTTCCATCATTCTGTTGGGCTCCATCGGTGTTTAGTTTACCCCAGCCCCTTTCAGGCAGTATCCAATTAACCTCTATCAACTCTTTTCTTTCATTTTCACGCCATATTGTTTGTTCCTTTGCATTATAATGGCGTTAAGTACTCCTTTAGAATGTCTTTTGCATTCCATGACATTTGGAGATTCTCATCATGTAGAAGACGCTTCCTCCATCTCCATATATGCCAGCAAACTACTGCAAATTGATCTTTCCATTGTGTCTCATCGTCTAGCGTCCATGGTTCATGTAAGTTCTGTTCCATCCAGTCTTCCTTGTTGCTTCCAAAAAATTCCATTCTTTTTACAGCAGGAATTATGCATCTCCAGATTATTGGCGCATAAGGACAATCTCTCAGTGCGTGTAGTTGCATGTGTTGGTCAACTCTTCATATGTGTTTGGCAAACTTTGTTTAAAAGGTATCAAATCCGGTCAATCTAACTACCACTAATCGAACCCATGTTTCTTTGTTTGTTCTTTCATTCCTTTTTCAAATCGATTTGTGTTATGAGTCCTGTATCGAAGAGACTCTCTCTCCTAGCAAATTAGTCTTTTAGAATTGGGATTTTCCTTTGGATTCGTGTTAATACTAATTTGTTAAGGTAAAAGGTGAGTTGGATATTACAACGATGGTATTCCTGCCTAATATTGAGTAGAATGCTGCAAAATACAGAACATGCCATGTGACAGGTAAAGCAGTACTGTACATAGTGCTGATACATAATTTGTTGATTTGTTTCAAAATTGAGATATTATTATCTAATAACAAATATCATATAGATACAGTTTTTGTGCTTGGTTCATAATATTGATAGAACTAAGAACCAGCTTTGGCCTTTTGTAGGATCAAAAATCTTCGTCCTATAGCAGTCTCCACATGCTCACCAAGTTTTGCAAGATGATCCATCCTCCTTTGCCACAACTTTGAAGGGTTTGGTTGATTTAGCTTTTTTTCTTTATCAGGAAAATCGTCATTTTCCAACAGGTTAATATCTTTCTCATCAGGATTACCTTCATCTGAATTTATGATGATTATTTGCTTCAACCTCTCCACCACCTGACTCATCTTTGGTCGATCTTTAGCACTTTTACTCAGACAATCATCTGCAAGCTTGGCGATATTTCGCGCTCCGTTTATGGAATATTGGCCTTCAACTCTTGGATCAATTATCAAGCTGAAGCTTCTTCTGTTAGTAGGGTGCTGTTTCACCCACTCCAAAAGCTTCTGTTCCGTCTTTGGCCGGTTTCGATCCAGTGATCGCCTGCCAGTAAGAATTTCATAGAGAACCACACCAAAACTCCATACATCACTCTTTGTAGTGAGATGCCCTGTCTCAATGTAATCTGGAGCAGCATAGCCATATGTTCCCATCACCTGATACATACACGAAAGTAAGTAACTGATTTTCCCATGTTGGTTATGAACAATGACACATCAAACATAGAAATTGTTGATTGTTCTTCCATTTTACAAACATCCAATAAAATGGCTTCATCTAAAGATAAGTAATTTACGAGATAAATTACAAAGTATAATTTTCCCTCTCAAAGCAAATATAAAGCACATAACACTTACTGCAGTTGAAACATGAGTATGCCCAGCTATTGGCCCCTCCCTAGCAAGTCCAAAATCAGAAAGTTTTGGCCTAAAATTTTCGTCCAGTAACACATTTGAGGTTTTAAAATCTCTATATATCACCTGCAGAATATGCGCACAAAATGTCAAGAGGGATAGCTAAAATGCAGAGCTTGGAATAATAAGTAAGAACCAATGAATAAGTAGGACGGTATCATTCATATTATGTGTCATCTGAATTATTGTAATAGCAATACTAAATTTTTTATCTTGATGGACCCCACAGGATTAAGGATATTCTAGAAGAAATAAGCATTGGTTAGAGTGCTTCCACAGGTTTAGTTAGGTAAGGGTCACTAGAGTTACTTTATTTATGACGATATAGCTATAATATGAACCTGAACTTCTAATTCTTCATGGAGATATGCCAACCCTCGAGCTGCTCCAAGTGCTATTTCAAGTCTTGTTTTCCAAGGAAGAGGATCATATGCCTTGTGGAAAAGATGATATTCCAAGCTTTTATTCGGCATGTATTCATATACAAGTAGTCTCTGGATCCCTCTTTCAGTATCCACAGCACAATATCCAATTAGTTTGACAAGATTTGGGTGCTCCACAACGCCGAGAAACTGAACTTCAGCTAACCATTGCTTATGACCCTACATAACAAAACAAAATCCTGACATATCCATAAAAGGAAAAAGGAGAAGTTCATAATGGACACTATATCTCTCTCTTGTGCTTTTATCTATCCCAACAAAATATAAGAGCTATGCAAATTTAGTGTTGACAGAAATTTTGGATTTCACAGCAAAACAGATTGGCGAAAGAACAGTTCCATTGCATTCTTGTGAAGGCTGATATCAAGGGTATTTTGAAGAACGATACTGACATTGTAGATGAGTGATGACTGCTAGCTCATGTCTGATCATTGAGCCAAAAATTGCAGGAAATTATTACAGAGAAATTTAACGCAGTTGAGATTTCAAGAGAGTATGCTTATATCCATGGATGTGCTGTCTATTACATAATTAAATCAAACTTGATAGGTATACATTCAGTAGAAGACAAAGTAAATCCTATAAGACAGTATTATAATTCTCACATTTTGGACAACAAAAGCGAGCAGTTTCTACTATCAAGCAAAACTAAGTTAAAAATCTATCCGACTTTGGTAAAGCCTTCGAGACGCCTGTATGTCATCTCCTTACAACAGAACATTCAGTTAAAGCTAAATAAGCCAGTAAGAAACATAGGCTATAAATGCAGCAGGACAAAGGGTGAAAATAGAGTGCCTAGATGCCTACTGTCATTTTAATCTAAAGTCACCTAAAATCAGACTAAGATGAGGTAGCATCAACCATTGCTTCTGAACCTAATACTTAAGGCAAAATTATACAGTCAAACTTCGGCAAGAATGAAATTTTCTTCTAACGAGAATGACCACCAGACAATAATCCTTTCAGTTTACATGCAGGCCCCACGTGATCAATTCCAGTGAGAAGAGAGATCCGGATAAGATCTGACTCATTGGGACCACTAGGACAAGAGAACCCAAGATCTAGATCCCTCCATTGTTCAAGTGAAAAGAGAGACGCAAATTTGATGGGAAAGACCCACAATCATTGATAGGGGGACTCCGCCACTATTTCTATCTCTCTTTTCTTAATTCTTAATCTCTGTTGAACAATTGAGAGAATCCAAATCTGTTGAAACCTTACCTCTATCTCTTTCCTCACTGTAACATTTCAGAGGATAAACTCCTTGAAGCATTCTCTAACAGGAAGCTTCAGAGGGGCTTTCCAGATCTAAAGTGTCGTACCTGGAATCCATCAGGTTCGAGCCTTTTGATGGCAACCGAAATAAACTCCTTATTATTCCCACCAGGGGCCTGGATTGAACCTTTAAATACACTCCCAAACCCACCCTGACCAATCTTCAAAAGCCTACTGAAATTATTTGTAGCTCGCTGGAGTTCAGCGAAGGAGAAAACACGCAAATTGTGAGCCTTCTCTTCATACAATTCTGGAATCCCGCGTGGTGAGGGTGATGCGGACAAAGATTCGGTAATTCTATTGACCTCGGAGTTTCGGGACTTCAATTCTTCTTTGAGCTCAGGTTTTGATGACCTTCGTCTTATGCGTCTGGTGAAGCAGTGAAAGCAATACATTGCAATAATCAGCTACAAAGCCCTGATCAACCTGCAAATAATATAAAGAAAAATCGCCAGAACAGTGAGAATACAGAAACAGCCTCGGTCGCTTCTCCCTGAATAAAGGAAAAAGACATTTCATCCCTTTCCTATTCTGAAATTTTGTTTCGTGTTAATCCATACAGCACGAGCTTTTGCAATTTTCAAACATTGACATGATACAAAACATCTCCGCAGAGATCAGAGTGTTACCTGAAGAAAATGAAGACCAACATGACAAGTTTGATAACTAGGAAACAACGAAGCAAAGAAACCCAGATGAATAAAAGAAGCAAAAGAGTTGAAGAAGGCAAAGCAGAGAGAAGATTGAGTGTAAAACGTAAAGTGAACAAAGATTTTGGCCAAGCACAAAAAACACGGAAGGAAAAGCAACAGGGGTAAAGAGATGCAGTTGGAGAACTCAACGACACGCAAATAGAGGCAGGTGATAAAGAAGGTCACGGATTTTGTATTTCTGTATTTTCAGTTTGACTTGGCCTCTCATTGTCGGTTTCTCCATAATAAATGCAAATAAATACTTTGTCATCATTTCGTCAACAATAATATAAAAATTCTTTGTATAAAAAAATATATACTCCTCCTGTCTTTAATATAAGACTCATTTAACTAATTTGATTAGATTAAAGAAGTTAGATAAGTTGGTTAATTTTAAAAAAAGTGACATTTTTCTTAAAACACCATAATCATCTTTCTTAATACCCTATATCTCTCTTCTATTTGATTATGGTTGAGGGAGTATCCATAGGGGTAATTTAGAGAAATTTGATAAATATGAGAAATGGGTCTTATATTTAAGACCAAAACTAACTCAACAATTGGGTCCTATATTAAGGACCGGAGGAGTATATAAATTCTAAAATAAATGCTAATTAACATGTTTTGAAAAAAAAAATGAAGACTCTGTTTTCTTTTGCTAGGAATAACTACAATTGAGACCTTTTTCTCTTGCATTTTATCGTGCATCTGTTATTTTATTATATGGATAGATGTTGTGACGTTTTGGTCCAATAGCACTAAGTATCTTCTTAAACTTTTTCTAAAATATGATGTTGCAAGATCAGTTGTCTATGAATATGAAAAGTGTAAGTTTCAGTCTATTAATTGATAGACATTTTTATTAAATAATCTACGTCTTTTTATTAATTAAAAGAAGAGATGTACAAAACATTCATCCTACTAAGCTAAAACTAGGTTTTGCACCCATGCAGTAAACAAAATGTTCCTTAATAAGCTATTAGGGTAAATAGATATTGCTATATTGTATGATGTTGCAATATTTAGAGAAATCGAAATTGATTGATTTAAATAAATCAACAAGTAACATGGATGGTATAGGTATGCATATTTGAGTGTTTTTGCCAAAATATATGCATTATCTATCATATATAGCTACTATTTTGAGTATTCTGGTGAAATGAGTACTCCTTTTGATATATAATATAGGAAGTTTTCTAGAAAAAAAATTATGATCCAAAATATAAGAAATTATCAGAATAATTAATGATATTTTTCACTTTTGCTCTTGCTAATTAGAAAAGGGAGTTTTAAACGGAGGAGATAGGAGAAATTACAAAATAATTTTATTGCTTTCCAATCACATTTTTCAAGGATAAAATAGAAAAAATTTATTATTGTAAAATATATTAAATGACTAAGTACTTAACTACTATTCATTTATGCGTGAAAAATTTAATCAATTCCTTATTTTATGAATTAGAAAGAATATTCAATGAAGGAAACATAATAGGTGAGGTTTTTATATAAAGGGAAAAAAAATGCTCAAAAGAGTCTTGTAATCCAGATTGAAGGGAATAGTAGGGGCCCATAGGGAATCCTTTGACTTTGAAATTAAGACTTTGACTTTGATACTTTAGCATTTATTTCGTTTGATGTTGGTAAGGCCAAATAAATGCGGCTTACGCTGACTTTACTTTAGTGGCTACCCGTTTCATCATTTCAAGCAGTTAACCAAATCCAATCTATTACTCCCTTTGTCTCGGGATATAAAAACATCCAGGTCAAAATGTTAATTAAATTTAATTAAAAATAATAAAATGTACAATATATATTTTAAATTATACCATTATTTATAAAGAGAGTGTATGAGAGATTATGAGTAAAAATTTGTTAAAAAAATGATAGATGACATATATTTAATGGAAGGAACAGTAGAAAGACAAGTTTAAAATTTCAAAGAAAGAGAATTTATTTATTATATTTAGGAGAAAGCTTATTTCTTATAAAAAGAAACTTGAGGGAGTACTTCTTATAAAAAGAAACGGTTACTTGATCATCCTTTTTCACAAGAAGCATTTGACGGATCAAAAAATTGGTTAAAAATAATAAATATGTAAATAGTGCCCTTATTTAAGGAGAAGAAAGAAAGAGAGAACAAGGAAATGAATGAACAGTGCGTCAGGAAATGAGATAATCCATATATTGAGTATCAAAATAAATAATTAATGTGGGCAAAATAAAAAACTATTCAGAAAAATTTAAGATATCTTATAAATAGGAATAAGATAAAGATAGTAATTGTTTAATACAAAAGGCACAGAAGGAGTAATAAGGTAATTGACTTACTTCCTACATTTTTTTAATAAGAGAGATTTGATCAACTTGCGCTAGTAAAAAAGTTGATTAAAATTTGTTAAAAATAAAAAATATATAAACAAACTAAAAGATGTAATTTTTTCTGAAAAATGCTATTTTTTTATGGGACATTAAGAGTATAAAATAGAAAATAAGAAAATTATTAGAATAAAAAATGGTGAAAAAAAGGGAATATGCCATGGACAGAGAGTATGAGTAAAGAAGGGAATTATACTTCGAGAGTTGTGTGATAATAAATATATTAATATTAAAATAAGTAATTAAATAAGAATAAAATAAAAAATTTGAGGCATGTTCTAAATATCTCTTATAAATAGCAACAAATCATAACTAATATTTTTTTTGCCAACATATGTAATACTTATTTTCTTATAAAAAAACGAAAGGAGGGAGCATTATATAGTTAATATGAACAAATTACCTATAAGTTTCTGGTATGAAAATTAAATATAAGTACATTTCCCAAATTTCATTTAATACTCTACTAATAATTGTCAAAAATTGTCAAAAGATTTAATACTTACAATCAAACTTTTATATTTACAAGTCGAATTATGTCATTTATAATTTAAACTTGAAAATATTTAATTCTTTGAGACCTGTTAGTATTAACAAAATTTGAAAGACCTATATGCACTTAATTTTTTTTTTCACCTAGAATGTATGGTTAATTTTCCCCATTAATTTTTTGAATGTAGGGAAAATCATGAATAAGTCCACAAATAAGTCCATATGAATTTGTGAAGGCATACTCTTAAATCCCTTTAGATTAGTCGTAATTAATCTTTCTTATGAAATGATACAAATACCCTTATTAGATCCACACTTTTGACGAGCGTTGAATTGAGGGGAAAAAAAATTTAAGGAACCATTTAATTTTTATGGAAAAAAATTAATGGAAAAAAAATTGACATATTGTTCATAAGATTAAAGAAAGCGACTTGAGTGAACCTAAAAAAAAAACCAGGAAAAAAAAAAGAATATCATGTTAGACGAGTCAACGTTTCACATGTCATATTCTGAAATATTTTTTCTGTCCGTTTTCATGTTTGGCAGTTTATTATACTATCTATATATATATATATATTCATTATTATTATTTTTATTATTAACTTAAGAATTCTGGTTTGATTGTCTCATTTTGAATTATGCCTTTGTTTTTACATGCAAAAGAAGGGTAAACTTATCCAATTTTGTTTTACTAAATTAGAATATCATGTGGCTGATCCGCTTAGAATTTTGGGGCCCTAGCTAAGTCACTTTGTCCCAAATGGAAGATAAGGAAGTGGAGGATTCAAATGGGTCATGCCTAACTTATTTCAAAGAATTAGTAATTAGATAAGACTCTTTATATATCTAGTCTTATTTATAAGATATTTTTAACATGTTTTATGGAAATTAAAAAAATATTAAACTCTATTAATTTTATATTAAAATTTATTAAATTTCAACTCTTTTACTGGTTAATAAATTATATATATTAAGAAAATAACAATAAATTAATGACAAAATTATATACTCATGTAATAAATAAATTTAATGAAAATTAGATAAGTAGTCATATGATCACATGAAGTCAACCAAATTACATATATATATATATATATATATTAATTGTCACGGATTTGGTTTGACAATATATTTATTTGAGATTCTGTTTTAGGTGGTTGCGGCTACGCTCATCCTATATTAAAGTTAAATCGACAAAGACATTCTAGAAGTTCAATACGTAAACATGGAATTTAATAAATGATTATCATTGACGACGGAATAAAATTTAAGCATTATCAATATTAACATTAAAAAAACCTTTAATCTCAAACATAATTAGGAGGAATAACTTTTTTGCGAACAATAATTAAGAGGAATAACTGATTCTATTAAATTTTGTAAAACAATCATTTGTTTATGTACATGAGGTTAGAGGGAGTATTCCTTCCATTTTATACTCCCTCTGTTCCTTATTATAAGAGACAAATAACCGATTTACGTTAATAAAAAAAACAGTTAAAATTAGTTAAGAACAATCAATGTATAAAAAGTATAATTTTTTTTCCAAAACTGTCCTCATTAATAAGGAGAGAGAGCATGAGAGAGAACAATTAAATTATTAAAAGAAAGAGAAGTGGAAGGGAGAGAGAGTGTGAGTTGGAGACAATAAATATGGGTAAAATAGGAAATCAACAAAAAAAAGTAGAGACAACTTTTAAGTGTCTTTTATATATAGGAACATGCCATAAGCATCAAATGTCTCTTATAATAAGGAACGGAGGGAGTATTATTTATTCCTCTGGCCATATTTATAAGTCATTTATAATATATTTCATACAGATCAAGAAAAGCCTTAAGCTTTATTAACTCATATTTAAAATCAAACAACTTTCTAATTTTATCCGTATTTAATATATGTTGTATCTCATGTAAACAAAGTCAACACAATAATAAATAAATAATAAAATTGTATATCTATACAAAAAGTTCTTTCAGTAGCATATAAATAGGATCAAAAAAATATTTTTTCTATTTGCCTTATAAATAGGACAAGAAGAATATTATAGAAACAATTTTACAAAGATCAAGAAAATCACTGAATAACACCAGATTTTGTAAAATTAATCGACTACTTTCCTAATGTGTCTTTAGTTTTTTTTAAAAAAAAGATAAATATTATTCCTAATTTAATGCACTCTTGAAATCTAAAATTAACATGAACAAGGTAAAATAAAAAATAAAAATTTTAACATATTTTTGGAACCGAAGACTGACAAACATTATACATAAAAAACAGCAATTTTATCACAGATAATATGAAATGAGGAGGG